AAATTTTCAATTATACTCACCTTGATTACCAAGATTTTGATTTTTAAACTTAATAACCAAAACTCAAACTATTTAAAATCAATTTAATTTAATTTTTAATTAAATTAATCTAAAATTTACTCAAACTCTATCAATCAATAACAATCTTATTGGTTTTCAAAACTTTTTTCAATTGTTAATTTTTTAATCTACCTCTATTTCAAACTATTGGTCTATTTGAATGGTTGATAACAAGCTCAACTTTTTCTTTATAATAATGATTCCTTATATTTTACAATGTCTAGCAATATCTTACAAACTTTCCTTTTCTAGCACTTGGAAAAGATAGGAGGGCGGTGAGTCTATTTCCATTTAAAAATTTTCCAAATCAGAGGTGAATAATAATAGAAATATAAGTTAATCAAATGCCTCCTCTATGCAACAAATTTCCAATCTGCTAATAAAAAGGTACTGGAAAACGAGGCGGTGGCTTAGGCGGCGGATTCTTCACCTTTACAACAACCTTTTCCGGCCGTTGAGGCTCGCACGGACTTGGCAATGCTATGAACTTCGGGATCTCATCACCTGGCATCAGTACCGGCAAGCTCTGACCTTGAATTTTCTTCAATTCCTGATTATTTAAAAAGAATGTCAGCTTAAATTCAAACTAGTGTACTCAATTTCATCCGATGAGAGAGAGGGAGAGAATTACCGTCAAGGAAGAGTTAGATTTCGATGGCGACGATTCAATATCTCCGTCGTGATCGGCGGCGTTCTCGGAGAAAGATGGACGGAGAGACCGGAGCTTGTCCCAGTGGTAACAGCAGGAGAAGATACCGCTCAAGCTGAAGATGATGATCAAGAGGAGTGCGGTTCCGAGAGGGAAGCCGAGTGACGGCCGAGACGAGTCCATGTGCGGCGGCGAAAGATCCGGACTCTCCATGGAATATGCTTCCCGTTCTTCCCTGTCTCATAGGAAGAGACCCAGACGGTGGAGGCAAGAGGTATGTGGAACTGTCAGAGAGAAAAATAGGGGCAATTTTGGGGAGGGGGTACAGGGGGGGGATTTATAAAATTGGGGTTGGGGGAGATTGGGGAATGTGGGTTGGGAGTGTACGTATAAGGGTACAGGTAAATGTCCTATAGTGTCCGGGCCACGGTACGGAATAAGTGGGGCCCATTTGTTGGGTGCTGGGCAGGGAAAAAAAGGCCCAATCCTCTTTTGTTTAGTTGGGGGATGGTGGGATTGAGGAAGAAAAGGGTAGAAAAGAAATGTGAAAGCAAGAAAATTTCGCGAACAATGCCCATTAGCTGGCAGGTTGAAGGGCAGAAAATCTAGTTTTTGCTGTAAAGGGGCCTTTTTTTTTTTTTTTTTTTTTTTTTTTT